ATTTGGCTAACAGAACTTGAATAAGTAGAAACACCCAAAAATGCTATCCGTAAAATGTGCCATTTTTAAGTCAGATCTTTTCTTCATATAGAAATAATAGAACAAATGCTAATGCCCATGGTTTAAATTCCATTTTGCTGGTGTATTCGGATGTAGTGTCTTTTCTTAATTTACTGAGATTGTAGATAATTAACATTTATTTTTTTTCCCCTCAATGTATGGACTTAAAACCTTAAAATGCAACATAAGTATCAGTGTAGCCACATCTGTATTTGATTCCAGTATCCTGTGAGTTGTGTTAGGACCTCTTCTTGCCTTTATTAATCTGATAGTGCAGGTTACTTTGTAGATTGTAAAACCTTAAAATATACAACAGTGGGGGGAAGGGTCAAAGTAACATTATTTATACCCAGTGCTCATGGACACTAACCCCATGGCAGGGAATCAAAGTCATAAATCCATGGTGTTTGAGCAGCATCATTTTGTTCAAATCAAAATGTTGTATACAAAGCAGCCATCTTTGTTCTCAGAATTTCCCAGGAGAACAGTGCTGGGCCCAGGGTACACCTGACCTCAGGAAAAGATTCATTCTTTCTTCCTTCCTTCCTTCCTTCCTTCCTTCCTTCCTTCCTTCCTTCCTCCCTCCCTCCCTCCCTCCCTCCCTCTCTCTCTCTCTCTCTCTCTCTTTCTCTCTCTCTCTCTTTGAGACAGGGTTTCTCTGTGTAGCTTTGTGCCTTTCCTGGAACTCACTCGGTAGCCCAGGCTGGCCTCGAACTCACAGAGATCTGCCTGGCTCTGCCTCCCAAGTGCTGGGATTAAAGGCATGCGCCACCACCGCCCGGCTAAGGTTCTTCTTCTTGTCCAGGCTTCAGAACCATTGGCAGAGAGCAAACTGCACTCAGTAGGCATGGTTCAGTGGATTGCAAATTGTCAGGCCTCTGGGACACTGTATTATCCCTAATAGCCATTCAGTCTTTAGCTCATCTTCGTCATCCCTAAAGGTTAGGTCCTCAGACAACAGGGTCTGCAAAGTTAAAATGATTCTACCTTACGGTCTTTTCGGATTGCAAGGCTTGAAGGATTAGGTTTGGACTGCAGGCATGGTGGTCCTTCATGTTTGAAGAAATGGGTGTGGCCTCTCATGAGCTCAGACTCTTGCTAGGCACCAAATGATTCCACCCCCCCCCTTTTTTTCTGATGTGAACTGAGCATTGTCACTATAGGTCTGTCTTTGATGGACCTACTCTTGATTTCAAGTCTTATGGAGGGAAACCTCTGTAAAAGTGGTAAATAAGGTCAAGTGCAGATACACACTCAACTTAACGGGCGGCATGGATCAGACCCTGCGTGTCTGACATAGGATGGGGCAGGCAACAGCTGGGGCTCAGAGGAGAGGCAGAGCCCTTCTGGATCTTTCAGAAAATAAGCGAGTGCCGGTTCAGCTCAGGGTGCTGTGTGATGTGTGTGGGGACAGGACCCAGAGGGAGGTATTGGGGTATGAAACTGTATACTAGGTTTGAGGAGTTGTAAGCTGGTAAAGCAGCAGGCTGGGTATGAAATGGGAAGAGAAGAGGTGAAAGGGGAGGAGAGGGAGAGGAAGACAAAGGAGGAAGGACATAGAGACACTCATGGTAGGGGATGTAAGGACCAGCAGCCACAGGATCAGGGTGAAGGGAAATCAGGACGGCACTCTCTCAGGAGAGACAGGTGGGCTCACACCAGCCACACACTTGCCTCCAACAGCAGGCAATCCTGCAAACCACCTTCCATCACCAGACTGGTGACTGCAGGCACTGTCCTACCAGTTTCACAGGCCAAGCTTCTGATAATGCCCCACTGTTTACTCATTTGACAGCTGGGAAAGTTCAGGCTGAGAATATCCATGAGCATTGCTCAGGACACTCAGCTATCAGATGACAGACAGACTGGATGAGTTGAGAGCTTACTTCCTTAACCTTAGACACAGCAAAGCAGTACGCCAAGTCATCCAGACAGCTGATGCTGGAAAGTACTGTCCTTATGAGGATTTTCTAGGGTTATACAGAAAGGCACAAGCCCCAGGGTGCATGCACCAAACACTTAGGTTTTAAGATGTATTCAAATGTATATAGCAAAGTCATAAAGAACTGAGCTGTGCCTCATGGGAAGGCCCAGGATCTTGTCAGTTTGGATAACATGGTGGGAAGTTTATGGAATTTCTTGGACACATGTATGATGTAATAACACTCTAAAGTTTAAAAACCCAGATGAGCATGGAGGCTTACTTCTATAATCCCAGGACTCAGAAGGCTGAGACCCTTTGAGTACTGGGAGAACCGCTTTGAGTTCAAGGCCACTGGGGCTACCCAGTGAACCTCAGGCCAGCCTGCAATACAGAGTATGACCCCATCTCAAAAATCCAAACCTGGCCACAGCTTGGGACCTGGGAGGGACATATCTCTAAAGTTCAGAGACAGAATATTTCAATCAAAAATAACAAAACCACATGAGGCAGATAAAATCCACATCTGCCCAGTGTAGCTCATGCTTGAAAGGCCACGAAGCAGAAATAAGTAAAAGGATCTCTGATTTGGGTGGCATGGAAGTTGCATGATCAGTTTATTGGAAATAAACTCTTGGTGGAAGAGCACTCAGAGCTGACTCAGAGGAGTTAATTCTAGGAGAGGAAGCTCCTGGTAATGTTGGGTCAGGCTGTGGGGAACAGAGAGGGCTAGCAGTCATACCCTGGGAAAGGTGGCAGTCGGTGATAGGTGTGCAGAGACATTCCAACTCCTCTGGTGGGCACAGGAGCCTCACACACAACAGGTGCCCCTGATATATCCCACTGTCTTAACACAGGACCCTGGTGATGCCCAAGAGTGGCAAAGTGGCAAAACTAATTTCAGTACCAGACAAGGATCTCTGTTTGGCATGTATCCATATGGTCAATGACCTCAACCCATCCTTTCCACTCTAGTATTGACATCCTGTTATGCACCAATACTAGCACAGGTAGATTTGGAATTTGGCCTTTAGAATTCTTTCAATATGATTCATGTTTTTGGTCTTTGTCTTCCTCCCCCCCTCCCCTCCTCCTCCTCCCCCT